TATCTGCATTTTACTGGGTTGCTGATTTTAGAACCTTATAAAGTGGTATGATGGAGATAATTGGGCAGAATAGGAAAATGTCAATTTGGAAAGACAGCATTCAGGTGACCAAGAACTTTTTGGGAACACTGTAAAGAATAGTGTGCATTAGGTCTGATTAAGTAAGTTTTAGATTCATATTCATAAGGTCTAGATTCAGACCCACCAATTGATACCTACCATACCATGTGATAAGCCTTAACACATATTATCTTATTAAAACCTCACAATGACAAACTTCATTAACATGTTTCATGACTATAGGGGCTTAATAATTAACACTATAGTGGCAATAAGCTGGAACACCATAAAATTCTCTACCGATCTCACCCTACAGTCATAGTCAGGGATTTGGTATTGTCTTAGAATGGTCTGAATGCCCAGACATTTGTATAGAGACTTTGCTTTTATTTCTTTCTTCAGTTGAGCATACATTCCCAGCTTAAGTTTGCCAGAGACATGATAAAAGACTGAATGTATAAAATCCTGTGGATTATAGTACTTAAGGGAGCTTATATTTAAAAATCTTGTTGCACTATTTATGTGGAGAAAAGTTCAGTCAATTATACCCAGATATCTTTTATGTATCATACTGACATGATTACTAGCATGCTGCCTACTTGCTCTATCACTCTGGGCAAGTTAATTCACCTGCCTGCCCGAGATCCCTCCTCTTTCAAGGGGCGATGGTAATAGTCATCTTAGGGGTGGGTGTAGGATTGAAAATATGATCAGTGTTACCACCCAACAAATGTTGTTCTCCACTGTAATCCTTAACCCTGATAAGAGTGACACTTTTCATTTTGTTTTCTTTTTGAAAATATACTAGAGCGTCTTTCTGGAACTTCACGACAATGGCAAAGCAAATTGACCCACCATTCACCACCTGAACCCAATGTGAATGAGCAGTCTTCCTCCAAAGTAATGTTTAAAAAAAGGGGGGGATGGAAAGCAGGTGCCGAAGGCACTTCTCAGGAGATTCCCAAATATTTAACTGGTAGGTATTTGTACAGAAGTGAACTGTGATTATACCATGATCTCTTTGTTTCTAACTCAGCCAGATTTGTAACGCTCTGAGCCCTGCCTCCTGTCTCTCTCCTCCCTCCTTCCACTCTGGGCCCTTCTCCTCTCGAGCCTGAACATTGGCAAGAGATTGCTTGGGCCTGACTGCTATCTCTTCAGTTTCTCTCCCCTTTTTTCACCTGTCTTCTTATAACTTCTTATTTGTGAACTGTTCCTCTTTGTCTTAAAATCTTTGCCCTCCCTGTTCCCCTTTTTAAAATATAAAATGTCATTTTCGCTCCTCAGCATGGTGTTCTCCAAAGATGAAACCAAATATAACACATTCTGAGGGCAAACAACACCTTTAACTACCTGTCTCCAGGCGCTTGTCAGGCCTCATCTCCCGCCACTCCCTTCACCCCCAATCACAGAACCCTGTATTCCAGTACTCACCTTAGGTGTGCTTTTTGGTCTCTATGCCTTCTTGAAACAATTTACTTAAATTTCCTTAGCACTTTTTTTACTCTTCTCCCAGAATGGTCTGTTTTTCAATAGAGAAAATTAATAGTAGTTATGGTCACATATTTGGAAAAAGAAAATATTAAGGAAAAAAAATCCTTGGATTTTTTTTAAAAAGCTTTGTTAAAATTTTGCCTTTTCTTTGTTTTCACATGTGATTATTGAATTTAAAAATGGTTGCAATTATATTGCATGTATATGTATTGCATGTAGCCCTCTGTTTTAAAAAATTCTTTGTAAACTTGTTTTTAGACTTTTTTCTGATTAGAAAAGTAACACTGAATCCTTGTAGAAAAATTGGAAAAGTAAAAGTTTTGGAATAGTTTGGAATTCTAAAAAAATTGGAATAGTTTCACAGTCTTATAACACAGAATAACCATTGTGAGTATTGATCTAATAGGGGGTTGGTGTTGTAGGTGAATTTGTTAACTCTTATACCTTAAATCTGTCTTCCTTTTGATATCTGCTGGAAGAAATATTAATTTAAGACTTGCTTTTAATGATGGTGCTGTTTCCTTTGACAGCTTCCACTTTTGCTCAAGCCCGAGCTGCTGAAATCAGTGCTATGTTGAAAGCGGTGACCCAGAAGTCTTCTAACTCACTGGTTTTCCAGACTCTGCCACGGCACATGAGGCGAAGAGCCATGAGCCACAATGTCAAACGCCTTCCTAGGCGGTTACAGGAGATGGCCCAGAAAGAGGTAGGAGTTTCATTTAGTGTAAGATGTTTAAGTAAGTAGTTCCTAAAAGAAATTGGGAAGTATTAACCTAATAGAATTTATTAAATGAAAACCAAAACATAGGGACGATCCTTTTGCATGTTTTTTATATTTATCATTGTCACTACCCCCAGCCCCTGCCGACTAGCAGGCAATTGGCTATTATAGCTTTTAAATACAGCATTTGGAGCCCCTTTCTTTAACAGTGGTATGTAGTTGATGTTCCCCTGCAGATTTGAAGTAACCTTCTGACCTTATCTGATAAGCAGTGTGAGCTCTGCATCTTGTGGGTTTGCCAGCTTAAGTTTGGAAGTTTAAAAAAAAAAAGGCAACATCAATGCCTAGTATTTGTCTTTTGACATTTTCAATGTTGAAACTCTGAACTTGGATTTAATTTTTGCTCAAGCCTACAGTTTTGGGCTTTACCACAATTCTTGGCTTGGACATTCTAAGATAATCTAAGCTACCCATGTCTTTACTAATTGATTCAAAATTTCTTTATTGAGTGCCTTATGTGTCCCTTTATTATACAGGTGGTGGGGCTAGAGTTCATCAAGATAAAGTCCTTATCCTTAAGGTGCCCCAAACTAATGGAAAAGAGTTTTTTCCATAAAACGTGCTGGGCTAAGGAAGAGAGTAAGACGGTAAACTGAAGAGGAATTTTGTACTTTCCAGATTTAATGTGAAGTCTATTTCCCAGTAATAGCATTTAGCATTTGTCTGTTAGTATCTAACTAATATGAAATGTGTAGGCTTTCCTCACTTTTATACTTTTGGGCCTAAGTTTTGTGTTTTAGTTACAATCTTAAAGGTTAAAAAACAGTATAAACAACAAAAAGCTAGCATTTGATTTATTCTATTTTGCTCTATAATATTAATAGCTGTACTAAGTTTGTGTTACTGTGTTGAACATTTTATAAATATAGTAATCTTCAAGTCCAGGAAGCTTGCCCAGCTAGTCAGTGGTAGAACTGTGCTCCTTAGGTTTGCTTATCTCTAAAATCTTCATTATTTTTATTGCTTCCCTTCTCTATTTTCATTGAGAAATCACCAAGTTAAGCAAATTCTTGGTTTTTATAAGGTACACTCCACTTAATCTGAGGTTAATTGTTTGAATTCCTAACATTTAACTTTGTTTTGAGATGGTTGCAAACTAAGATCTGCCTCTCTTGAAACTACAGGCAGAGAAAGCAGTACATCAGAAAAAAGAACATTCAAAAAATAAATGCCACAAAGCTCGAAGATGTCACATAAACCGGATGCTAGAATTTAACCGTAGACAAAAGAAGAACATCTGGTTAGAAACTCACATCTGGCATGCCAAACGATTTCACATGGTCAAGAAGTGGGGCTACTGCCTTGGGGAGAGGCCGACAGTCAAGAGCCACAGAGCCTGCTACCGAGCCATGACAAACCATTGCCTCCTCCAGGTGTGCTTTTCTGACTGGTCTTCTGTTTATTCTTGTTTAAACCCTTCCTGATATAGACATTTAGAATAGTTCGTGGTATGCCGCAGCCCTACCTTTGAGATGATTCATTTTAAAAATGACTGCTGAGCATGAGATACTTTGTTAGATGCTGGAAATGAAGCTGCCTAAAGGTACTGGGGAAGACTGATATTTAATCAAATAATTACCCAAATATACGATCGGAAGGGAATAGTATACAGTACTATGACCATTCAGAACAGAGGAACAGGAACGCTTTCTCACAGAAGTGATGCTTGAGCTGAGCTGTAAGGGATGAGAAAATGGAAGAGTTGGGAAGGCTAACCTTAGGGTGAGATTAGTTATGGAGAAATAAGTAGGAACTAGATCATACAGGGTCTTGTTAGTATGTTCAAGATTCATTCAGCTTTGATTCATTTAGTAGGATCACCCATACTGTTTTCCATAGAGGCTACACTGTTTTACATTCCCATCAGCAGTGTGCATGGGTTCCAATTTCTCCACATTCTCACCAACACTTGTTATTTTCAGTTTCTTTGATAGTAACCATCCTAATGGATGAGAGCTTTTGATTTGAAGACTCAGCAGCAAAAATCACAGATTCTAGTAAAATTATTTTTACACTGAAGAAACTGGGATACAGATAGTAAAGTGACTTGCCCAGGGTCACACAGCTTGTTGGTGGTCTGTGTTGCACTGGGCAGCTAATTCCCCTGGCCCGTGCTTTTTCCACTGTACCCCACCATCTCTCAAACTTTAAGACAGACATAGGAGTTACTTCTTATTTGGGGCATGGGGCAGAATTTTTGCCAAGGTTATCAGATACTTTCTTTACATTTAATCAGCCTTAAGTACTAAAAATAACAAATATTTTTGGATATTTTATGCCAGGTCCAATTTTTATACATTTAATCCTTGCAGCAATACTACAAAGTAAGTAGTTATCATTATTTCCATTTTACAGATGGGGAAACTGAGGTACAAAGACATTAGGTGATTTATCCACGGTCATACAACCAGTGAGTAAATTTGAACCCAGGTAGTCTGACTCCAGAGTTCCAGGCTGTTAACCATTACTCTCTGTTGTCACCCAGTTGTACAAATTTGTGTGGGGTTCATCTGGCCTCTGACAGCTGAGAGTAGATTTGTTGTGTCTTGGACTTCTAGAAGTTTTTCTCATGTGGCTTTTGGCTTCTTGAAATAGTTCCCCTTGTAAATTCTTAAGTATTTGTGTCTCCCTCTTTGCACAGGATTTTTCCTACTACTGTTGTTTGGAGTTGAAAGGCAAAGAGGAAGAAATACTAAAGGCACTTTCTCCAATGTGTAGCATAGACACAGGTAAACTTGTTTCACAACCGAGTCCTGTTTCAGCCTTTGAATATCTATTCATTTAATGAGCAAGTGTTTGCTGTAAGCATTTTGGAATTTAAACATATATAAAAATGTGCGAGACAATTCATGTGAGTATGTTAATATAAGGAAAGGTGGGGTGGTTTTAAATCATTTCTAACTTTGTCAAGTGTAAAGTGAGACAAACATTCTGGTGGAGTAAATTTAGTCAGGAAGAAACTCTAAACTTATTAGAACATTTGTTCAATAAATGTTTCTTGAGAACTTATTGTGCTGAGCTTTGATCTAGGCAGTGATCAGAACCAAAACCCCATCCCATTTGGAAATGGACAGGAGATGACAGTAGGGCTCTCAGGAAATGGTACTGCAGTCTCTACACTTGAAATCATGGAAATCTGTTTTTGTTTATGTCAGGACTGACTTTCGCAGCAGTGCACTGCTTGTCTGGAAAGCGCCAAGGCAGTCTCGTTCTTTACCGGGCAAATAAGTATCCCAGAGAAATGCTGGGGCCTGTTACATTTATTTGGAAGGCTGAGAGGACCCCTGGCAACACTTCCAAGAGCAGGCAGCTGTGGATCTGGCTTCATCCAACTCTTAAATGGGTATAATCCTTGAGAGTATTTCCCCATCACTCTGTTACTGCATCCTTCACTACTGTTGGAAATCAATGCTAGGGAAATTCAAATAGTATTGATGTTTGGCTGAAAGCTAGGTATCTGAATATAGGAAGGCAAGTTATGTGAATATTAAATAAAGCAAACCTTGACCTCATTTTTCAGTAAGCCATGAGTAGAAGTAGATATGAAAACCAGTCTCATTATGCAAATGGCTTTAAGTGTGGCATTTGTTAGAATATGCTTCTACCATATTTGAATTGGTTCTTTGATGTCTAGGTGTTTGTTAGAGCCTATTTGATAATGAGAAGCTGTTTGAGTAATTCTTATGATTTTTAATATTGCCTTTACTTAGCTTCTCAGTATATTCACTGTTCTCGACTGTAAATTTTCTCTTTAAACTTTTTTAAAAAATTTGTTCAGAGTAGTCATGTTGTTTTCATTAATCTTTAGCATTTAGGAGTTATTTTTTTTGTTCCAAGTGCCATCTAGTATGCTCAGAAGAGTCAAAAAAGCTCTTTGATGATGATCAATTTAGTTTAATTTGTGAAGGGGTAAAAATGTAAATTTTTAAAGAGAGAAAAAAACAAAAATTAAACCATCTTAAACTTTGTAATGTATTTAAATTTCAAAATGCTAAAGTAAAATGTTTAAATATATCCTTAGGATATTTTAGAGGAAATAAAAACAGTGTGCCAGTGTATGGAACCCATCAAATCAACTGTCTGCATCCCTGACCCCCTTCTGATACCATCCCAAGAAAAAAGCCAAACTGAACTGCCTGATGAGAAAATGGGCAAGAAAAGAAAATGGGAAGCTGATGGAGAAAATACTAAACCAATCAAAAAAGTTATAGGTGATGGAACTAGAGATTCACATCAACCATATAATTGGATCTCTGCAACCACAGGCATAATAGTCAGGTATTAGTTGAATTTGCTCTGAACCCACTGAATCTTTTCCGTGAAGAATTGGCTCTATTTTTACAAGGCACAGAAATTGTATATGATGGAAATTTCCATTTTGAGACCCTGTCTCTCTTTCAGTGATTTGACAATGGAGATGAACAGGTTCCGGCTGATAGGTCCACTTTCCCACTCCATCCTCACTGAGGCGCTCAAAGCTGCTTGTGTCCATACCGTAAGAGTAAATGTGACTGTCATGTTTTATTTAGTTATGTCCTTCTTATCCAATTTGTGAAGACTAACATATAATTTGTTACCGTTTTGGGCCTTGGCCTATGAATGTTTATTTCTCTCCTTATGCTTATTATCAAAGACTTTGTTATGTTTCACTTCTAAAGAATAGATATAAGTGAATGTGATAAGTAGGTTGACTTGTTTCTGCTTAAACAAGACTACCTTTGCAGTTTGTGAGTTTTGTGAATGGGTCTTAAGTTCTGCTCCATAAGTGGGTAACAGAGAGACCCTATAGGAGTTACTTCTTATTTGGGGCATGGGGCAGAATTTTTGCCAAGGTTATCAGATACTTTCTTTACATTTAATCAGCCTTAAGTACTAAAAATAACAAATATTTTTGGATATTTTATGCCAGGTCCAATTTTTATACATTTAATCCTTGCAGCAATACTACAAAGTAAGTAGTTATCATTATTTCCATTTTACAGATGGGGAAACTGAGGTACAAAGACATTAGGTGATTTATCCACGGTCATACAACCAGTGAGTAAATTTGAACCCAGGTAGTCTGACTCCAGAGTTCCAGGCTGTTAACCATTACTCTCTGTTGTCACCCAGTTGTACAAATTTGTGTGGGGTTCATCTGGCCTCTGACAGCTGAGAGTAGATTTGTTGTGTGTCTTGGACTTCTAGAAGTTTTTCTCATGTGGCTTTTGGCTTCTTGAAATAGTTCCCCTTGTAAATTCTTAAGTATCTGTGTCTCCCTCTTTGCACAGGATTTTTCCTACTACTGTTGTTTGGAGTTGAAAGGCAAAGAGGAAGAAATACTAAAGGCACTTTCTCCAATGTGTAGCATAGACACAGGTAAACTTGTTTCACAACCGAGTCCTGTTTCAGCCTTTGAATATCTATTCATTTAATGAGCAAGTGTTTGCTGTAAGCATTTTGGAATTTAAACATATATAAAAATGTGCGAGACAATTCATGTGAGTATGTTAATATAAGGAAAGGTGGGGTGGTTTTAAATCATTTCTAACTTTGTCAAGTGTAAAGTGAGACAAACATTCTGGTGGAGTAAATTTAGTCAGGAAGAAACTCTAAACTTATTAGAACATTTGTTCAATAAATGTTTCTTGAGAACTTATTGTGCTGAGCTTTGATCTAGGCAGTGATCAGAACCAAAACCCCATCCCATTTGGAAATGGACAGGAGATGACAGTAGGGCTCTCAGGAAATGGTACTGCAGTCTCTACACTTGAAATCATGGAAATCTGTTTTTGTTTATGTCAGGACTGACTTTCGCAGCAGTGCACTGCTTGTCTGGAAAGCGCCAAGGCAGTCTCGTTCTTTACCGGGCAAATAAGTATCCCAGAGAAATGCTGGGGCCTGTTACATTTATTTGGAAGGCTGAGAGGACCCCTGGCAACACTTCCAAGAGCAGGCAGCTGTGGATCTGGCTTCATCCAACTCTTAAATGGGTATAATCCTTGAGAGTATTTCCCCATCACTCTGTTACTGCATCCTTCACTACTGTTGGAAATCAATGCTAGGGAAATTCAAATAGTATTGATGTTTGGCTGAAAGCTAGGTATCTGAATATAGGAAGGCAAGTTATGTGAATATTAAATAAAGCAAACCTTGACCTCATTTTTCAGTAAGCCATGAGTAGAAGTAGATATGAAAACCAGTCTCATTATGCAAATGGCTTTAAGTGTGGCATTTGTTAGAATATGCTTCTACCATGTTTGAATTGGTTCGTTGATGTCTAGGTGTTTGTTAGAGCCTATTTGATAATGAGAAGCTGTTTGAGTAATTCTTATGATTTTTAATATTGCCTTTACTTAGCTTCTCAGTATATTCACTGTTCTCAACTGTAAATTTTCTCTTTAAACTTTTTTTAAAAATTTGTTCAGAGTAGTCATGTTGTTTTCATTAATCTTTAGCATTTAGGAGTTATTTTTTTTGTTCCAAGTGCCATCTAGTATGCTCAGAAGAGTCAAAAAAGCTCTTTGATGATGATCAATTTAGTTTAATTTGTGAAGGGGTAAAAATGTAAATTTTTAAAGAGAGAAAAAAACAAAAATTAAACCATCTTAAACTTTGTAATGTATTTAAATTTCAAAATGCTAAAGTAAAATGTTTAAATATATCCTTAGGATATTTTAGAGGAAATAAAAACAGTGTGCCAGTGTATGGAACCCATCAAATCAACTGTCTGCATCCCTGACCCCCTTCTGATACCATCCCAAGAAAAAAGCCAAACTGAACTGCCTGATGAGAAAATGGGCAAGAAAAGAAAATGGGAAGCTGATGGAGAAAATACTAAACCAATCAAAAAAGTTATAGGTGATGGAACTAGAGATTCACATCAACCATATAATTGGATCTCTGCAACCACAGGCATAATAGTCAGGTATTAGTTGAATTTGCTCTGAACCCACTGAATCTTTTCCGTGAAGAATTGGCTCTATTTTTACAAGGCACAGAAATTGTATATGATGGAAATTTCCATTTTGAGACCCTGTCTCTCTTTCAGTGATTTGACAATGGAGATGAACAGGTTCCGGCTGATAGGTCCACTTTCCCACTCCATCCTCACTGAGGCGCTCAAAGCTGCTTGTGTCCATACCGTAAGAGTAAATGTGACTGTCATGTTTTATTTAGTTATGTCCTTCTTATCCAATTTGTGAAGACTAACATATAATTTGTTACCGTTTTGGGCCTTGGCCTATGAATGTTTATTTCTCTCCTTATGCTTATTATCAAAGACTTTGTTATGTTTCACTTCTAAAGAATAGATATAAGTGAATGTGATAAGTAGGTTGACTTGTTTCTGCTTAAACAAGACTACCTTTGCAGTTTGTGAGTTTTGTGAATGGGTCTTAAGTTCTGCTCCATAAGTGGGTAACAGAGAGACCCCAAAAATCCCTGAAAGTATAGGCCAGTTTTTTTGTTTGTACTTGTGTAATGCAGGGGCTAGTTTCAAGGGTCTGTGATCCCTAAAACGGTGAGGGCAGAGTGTCTAGTGCAGCCTTGATCAACACAACTTTCTGCGAGGATGATGTTCCTTTGTGCCGTCCAGGTGGTAGCTACTAGCCAGCCACATGTAGCTGTTGAGCACTTGAAATATGGTTAGTGTGACTGAGGCACTGAATTTGTACCTTTAACTTTAATTAGCTAAAAATAAATTTAGGTAGCTCTCTGTGGCTACAGCTACCACATTGGCAATGCAGGTCTAGAGAGTGGAAACTAGATTAGGAGTCAGATACACCAGGTTCAAAGTCAGTTTGTTTTCCTGTATTAGTGCAATTAACTGTGCAGTTGCTTGTGCCTCTCATAGATTGACATGGTTAAATACGATGATAGATCTGAAAAGATTCCGAGCTTTTAGAATAAGAGAGAGATTTTAAAAAACAAAGTCTGCCTCTCTGTGTTGCTTCCACACCAGCCTGAATCTCAGTCGTCTCTAGCCTGAATACTGAAGCAGCTTCTTAACTTTCCTCTGTTGTTCCCACCTTGCACTCCATTCTCCATGCAGGAAACAGTTATCTTTTAACAATTTATTTACATCATGTTGCTTCCTGATGAAAAGCTTTTTTTAAATAGCTCCTTATTGTATTTAAGATAAACTCCAAAGCCCTGTGTACTTTCCTGCCTCTCTGGTCTCCGCTTGCCTCCCTCTCTGCACTTCAGACCCGCTGGCCTTCTTTCAGGTTCTAGAATATGTCAGATCTCATTGCTTTTAGAGCCTTTGCATCTGCTTTTTTTTCCCACCGTGAACATTCTGCCTCCACTCCTACTTGCTTGCTAAATCTTCCTTATCCTTTAGGTTTCCACATTTTTATCATTTTTCTCTCCTTTTCTGATCCCCCAAGGTGTGTGAGGCAGCTTAGGGAGGTAGTCTGCTAGAGAACTGCAGGTGGTTTTCTTAGTATGTGAAATCTCAAGAGAAGTGTGATATTGTGTCCTTGCTTCTAATAACAAGAGTAGTAATTTACTGTGTTAAATATAGTGACAATTTCCTTGGTTCCCCCCGTAAAATGTTCATTCCCACATACCGAAAATGTCAGGGTGGGGGACGCTGTCACAGCCGTAGCAGAATCATTATGTCTGACTAATTATTTGTCTGGTGAACAGGAGTTGTTATTTTTCAGGAGGGAGAGGACACAGATAAGACACCTCACCATTGGTGGATTGAAACCTGTAAAAATCCTGGGAGTGTTTCTCTTCATCACAGACAAGAAGCCATTTTTGAACTGTTGGGAGGTATACAGATGGAACACGGGGTTGTGCGCGGGAAGAAGGGAGAGGGGGAAGGGGGTTAAAGAGCACTTTGCAGTTGGGCTACCTATGTGTGGTATCACCTTGTAACTTAGACTACAGCCGAAAGCAAATGAGAGAGGAGCCTGAACCCATGAATAAAGGGAACATATTTGACTTTGTTTATGAAACAACAAACAAATGAGACTTTAGTATTACAAATAACTGGCTTTCTGATATTATAGATCAGTAGTGCACATACCAGGTACTAAACTAAAATCTGTTCTTAGCTTCACATGATTGCATTTGGGCATAAACCTACTGTGGTTACCATTGATAGAAACATGCATGTTTATATTGTAAACTTACCTGTTATGTTAATTTAATGTTTTTTGTAAAAAAAGGGGAACACATGTTTTTAAATAATTAGCCCAAGCAGAAAGCTCCATTAGGAAAATTTGAAAATACAAGAAAATGTGTATATATCATGAATGACTTTCTTTAATCCTGGGTGTTTTGTTTTGTTTTGTTTTGTTAAAGGAATAACGTCTCCAGCAGAAATTCCAGCAGGTACTATTCTGGGACTGACAGTTGGGGATCCTCGAATAAATTTGCCTCAAAAGAGGTCCAGAGTTTTGCCCAATCCAGAAAAATGGCAAGGTAAAGTTGTTGAAACACTCCTGGGTTTCCTTACTGTATTGAGCAGAGACTGTGACACCTCATCTGTAAAAATTAGGGCAGCCTTCAACTTTACATTTCCCTGTATGGCCCCAGAAGATGACTGGTTAGCCAGAGATGGTTAAGATTCCTCAAGGGAGGAACAACCTAAGACAGGCACAGTCACAGGGGGGCCATCAGGTGAGAAATTGGGGATCAACCNGCAGGGGGGCCATCAGGTGAGAATTTGGGGATCAACAGAGGTGAGGCTCAGAACCTCACCCCCCCTGCTTTGAGAGAAATCTTCTGCATCCGTGGATGTCTTGCTGCCCTTGTCTAGCCTGGATTAATACTTAGTCCATAGGCACACACCTGATCATCTACATTTGCCCTCTTACAGCACTAAACTATGTTTTCTACCTTTATCTTGCATCTACCTACCACTTCAGCATTTTATTAAAAATAATAATAATAATAATAACAATAAAAATAAGGGAGAAATGTGGGATTCACATATAAATCAAGTATAAAAATCAAATGAATAATCATAATTGAACTGATTGTTCATAGTTCATGATGTGTGATCAAAACCGACAGTTTCTGTGATGACTGCCCTTGCACTGTTCACCATGTAAGAACTTATTCACTATGTAAGAACTTGTTCACCATCTAAGAACTTGTTCATTATGCTTCAGAAGATTGGAGACTGTTGAGAATTAGGCTTGGGTTGATTAATGATTGTGCATTGAGTCCTCTATACAGAATTTTATTGTTGTTAACAACCATATGATCAATAAATATGAGAGATGCCCTCTCAAAAAAAAAAAAAAAATTAGGGCAGCCTTTACCTGCTACCTTTCAAGGTGATTAGGATCAAAGGATGTGGAATTAGATGATGTATGTGGAAGTATGTTTTACCTGTGAAACATGTAGCCTGATCCTTATGATCATTTTTTCCCCTGAGTTCTTTATTATGTAGTAGAACATGTCTCTCTGCAAACTGGGTTCTCTGAAAATGCCTGGCATTTTAGAATTCTAATTGTGAGGAAGGGATCGGCACCCACAGCTGGTCTTGTGCTCATTGGAAGCCTCTGTCTTACCATACAGATGATCCAGGTTCGAATCCTGGCAAGGCCATCCCAAGTGCTGAAGGGTAAGATGTGTTGGCTTAGACTTAGTAGAGTGGCCTATGGGAGTTATTTGTCCTCCTTGTCGTTAGGAAGGAGGGTAGGGGCTAGCTAAAATTTTAGTCTAATCTGGGATTTACAACAATTGTGGTAATATCTCATTGTATTTATGAGTTATTTAAACATGATTAATTTGAAGAATCATTAAAAGTAGCTTTTGAATTTTTGGAGGAAAAATAAAGGTGTATGTAGTAACAACTTCAGAATTGTTTTTTTACCTCCACAAGTGGTTAGATCACTTATTAAGGGGGCAATGAATTACTCTGTCAGAACTTCACATGAAAGATAGACTGGATGAGAGAGGAGTTTGAAGGTATATAGGCAAGTTAATTATGGAGCCTGAAACTTTAATCAGTGAGTTGTTGCCTCTTTTCTTTTTATAATGGCAGTATGGTTTGATGCAGCCATAAAAGTTGCAGTGTCTGCTACACCATTCAGTGCTGACTATCTTAATTGTCCTAAAGCTATAGTTGAACTCTGCTTCTCTGGAGGCCTCAGATCCTTTTTTGGAATGAAGCCATTGTGTATTTAAGTCCTCTCTAAAGCTTTTATCTTAACATGAATCAGTTTAAGGAAAATTAAAGTCTATTTTGAAGAACTTGATTTAATTTCTATAAAAGCTTACCTCCTTGTTAGTTACTGTGGTATTACATTTAAACCTGTTGTGAGTAATTTCTTTGAAGAAGTATTGGCATGTGAATTACATAAAGAAGTAAACTTTTCAAGGAGTTAGTATTATATCAGCATTACTAACAAAGTTAACATACAATCATGGTGACAATGACAATTCAGAACTAAAGTTCATAATGGACTTGATTAGCTGGATTAGTTAATAGATGGTTAATCTTTGAAAGAATCTCTGTCATGATGATCTAAAACTTAATTTTCTGAGGTACTATATCTGAAGGCATTCTCTACCTGTTTTGACCTTGACAAAGCAGAACGTCCCTGGTGTTACTTAAACCGTAAAGAAAGGTTTGACTGATTTGGATAACAAAAGCTTCATCTTTTTATGTGTACTGGGAATTGGCTCTGAAAAGAGAAGGTATATGACTGTGATACTATGATACAATAAGGAATATATATGCTGATATTTGTCCAAATGTACCTTTCTTGGCTCTTGGCTCCTAAAACCCTCATAATTTCCTAAGTGGTAAGAGCCTTAAAGATGAAAGAAGCATCTTTTGCTGTTCATAACAGGCCCCTCTGAACCACACCTTAGTTTATATTAATGAGGCGATTCTTGGAAAGTCTCTAAGTAGGGTGGGCTGAGTGCCAGGGAACCAACCATGTGGTCAGAGGGTGGAACTTTCAGCCCTCCACCTTCCCCCCAACTTCTGGGAAAGGGAGAGAAGCTGGAGGACAAGTCTAATTGTGGATGGCCAGTGATTTACTCAATCACCCATACTTTGTTGTAGCCTCCATAAAAGCCTTCAACAATGGATTCCAGAGAGTCTTGCTCAGTGCATGGAAGCACTGGGAGGGTGGAGTGCCCAGAGAGGGCAGGGAAGTTCCAGATCCCTTTCCCCACACCTTTTCCTGTGCATCTCTTCCATCTGGTTATTAAAAAAAAAAACACAACACAGTAATGTAGAGAGTAAACTATTTTCCTGAGTACTGAGAGCCATTCTAGCAAAGTATCAACCTGGAGGAGGGGGTTGTATGTGAAACCAATGTACAGCCAGCTGGTCAGAATAAGGGAGTCTGAGACTTTGATTTGACATCTAAAGTGTGAGCAGCCTTGCAGGACTGAATCCTTACGTGTGGGATCTGATGCTGTCTTCAGGTAGATAGTGTCAGAATTGAGTTAAATTGTAGGACACCCAGCTGGGGTCAAAGAATTGCTCACTCTGGGGAAAACAGTTACACATTTGAGTGTTGGAAGTATTGACAGCAACACGGCACAGAGAAAGAAACTTTTTTTTTTTTCAAGGGAGAACCTGAAAGGATGATGCATGTTTTCAGGGGCTTTGGAAAAGTTTGCTTGATCTTTGGTCCTTGAATTTGAATTAAACATTAATAATGTGTTTTTGCAAATCTTTTCAACTTCATTAATAGCATTTCACTATGTAAGTAATTGGTTTACTGGGTGAGATTTTGAAATATAATTTCTGTTGCACTGTTACTTTTGTATTTGTTCTCCTTAGTGTCTGCTGATTTGACAGGATACTCTAACTAGTCTTTGTCTTCCAGAGATGAATTTGCTTTAGAAAATACTGCACTTACATTGTGCTCATGGGCTCGTTTTAATCTTTCTCTTTTCATACCTTGGTAGTGTGTACCCAAAACACAGAAAAAGTCTTGTTGCCTTTAGAATGAGAGGTGAGAAATTATCTCTTAACTTTTCACAGCTTTTGCAAGTACTTTGAGGGCACTGGTCTGCAGCCAACTTTCAGAAATGTCCAGTTACCAGTCATTTAGCCACGGCTGCTCTCTTTCTGCTCTTGGGAGAGAAAAAGCCTCGAAACTTCATCTGGGCTGCTTTAACTTAAAATAGAGTGAATTTGGACACTGTAACTGACTTATTTGATCACCAAATGAGAAAGCCTTTTATTCATTTCCTTTGCTTCTCCAAGGAAAACTTAAAGTTTTAGTTTAAAAGCTGGTCCTCTTCAAATACATTCAAGAAAGGAGAAGACAAGCTATTTCCTTCAACCTTTAAGCCACAATTCTGGAATTATTTCATCAGTTAGAAGGCTTTTGTGTGGGTATGAAAGAATCTGCTTTATATGAGTCCTGGAGGAAAGACTAGAATTATATTCAGAATTGATAGTCATGCTGGGCACACTGAAGTGCATGCTGACTCAACTGGTAATATTCTTTTTCTCTCACTACTGACAAATATTGACCTAAAAGGGCCTTCTCCTTTGCCTTCAGACATACTGTGCTTTGTTTTAAATAGATTCACATTTAAGAACAGTTTTAGGTTCACAGCAAAATTGAATGGAAAGTACAGAAAGCTCCCATGTACCCCTGCCCCCAAGTATTCTCAGTCTCCTCCGCTGTCAACAGCCTGCACTAGAGTGGTACATTTATCACCATCCAAGAGCCTACCTTGACACGTCATTATCACCCAAAGACCACAGTTTACATTAGGGTTCACTCTTTATGTTGCACATTCTATGGGTTTTGACAAATTTATAACAACATGTATCCACCATTATAGTATCATAATTCAAAAGTAAGAATACTTTTCATACCCTGAAAAGATGCTACTCATCTCTCTCTGAATTTGCCTTTTCTGCATTGTCACACAGTTGAAGTCATATAGTCTGTAGATTCTTCAGATTAGCTTCTTTCATTTAGTAATACACATTTATGTTTTCTTATGTCTTTTCATAGCTTGAAAACTCTATTTTTTTAGGTCCTTCATAGTATTCCATTGTCTGGATGTACCATTTACTTTCTTTCATCTATTTATTTCTTATTATTTTTTAGAATATTTGAAGATGAGGTCCACTTTCCTGTAGCTCTGCATCCTAAGTGTCAGCCATCTCTTTTGTCTGCAGCCAAGTCTGAGTACAGTCCCAATTCTGTCACTCAGATCTCTGGCAGCACTCCACAAGAAAGTATTCTGAGTAGGCAGAGGCTGTTTGAACTGGAGCTTGTTTGCTTCTAGACAGGCTATGTGAACTTCGGAAGCACACAGCACTGTTACGTGAGGGGCTGGTGGTTATTTTCTCCCTGAGGAAGAGCAATGTACTGGAAGCAGTTGCTACTTTCAGTAGTTTTATCTCAGATCTTTTTATCAATTTAATATTCTCTGTCTTTGTTCTCCCTTGAAATCTGTCACATTTTGACCCAGTCGCTTCCAACTTAAATTTTTTTTCCGGTCATCAGATCCATGCAGGTATGTGCTTTTGAGTGACCTTTCTCTGTTGGCACTTTGACAACCTTAGCCAAAACTCAGAAATTAGTCTGACTTTTTAAAAAGTTTAATTCTTTAGTCCAACAAAATAAGATTTGGAAGATTTTTTCCCCCTAGTGTTTACATGACTGTATGTAGGTAGTCTTTTCTATCAATTTATGTTTATAACTGATAAAGTTCCTCTTTTCCCACCAGAGTCCTTTTTGTCATGGTGTGGCTTATTTAAAGGGATGAAACAATATATTTCATGGAGAATATGCTCATTTTAAAGGAATACAAAAATATGTTTTACAGAAAGGAGTAAATATTGAAGCCAATAAAAGAAGAGTTCTTAGAGACTTGAAATAATAGGGCTTGAAATAAAAGGATGATATCTGCTGGCTCACCACCACTGGACCAGGAATTGTATAAACAACTCTGAAGCTGATAGTGAAAACATGGCTGGTGCTATCATTGCATGTTACCAAGAAATTTTTGCCTGTGTGATGATTCCTGGAATTTAATTATCTTAATTGTGGAATTAGGCAGTTATTTAGAGGCAATTTAATGTGGTGTTTACATCTTCTACACTAAAAACAAATGTCAAGAAATGAGTTGAGGATCCTTTGCTATTTCACAGATTAGGTAACCAACTATAAGAATAACTTATTTCTAACCAAGTAAGTTTTTCTAGAGAAGTTAAGTAAGTGCCTATGAAGTATTTCCTTGTAACAGAAGATCAACTAGCAACATTTTGAGTTTGACTTCATTGATCTAAAGTATGTGGTTTGAAGGCTATTTCTTTTCCCTCTTAGATACTGAGAAAGTTAGACAGCTGCTTCTGGAGGGCGTGCCTGCGGAGTGTACACATAGCTTTATTTGGAACCGGGCTATCTGTAAGAGTGTCACAGAGAATAAAATCTCAGATCAGGTAACTAATGATGTGAGGATTATTGGTAAAGTCATGAAGAACCATGGAAATTCATCCCTGTAGAGACCACAAAAGTTATTTCACATAATTGATAGGATATCACAGACTTCTTTTTATTTTCAAACAATTTACTGTTCTCTTACTTACAATACATACTATGATTTTCTGTTCCTAGAGAAGAATAATCTCTAGAAAAAGTTAATACAAAGACTTTTTCTTGAAGTGATAATCATGATTTAAATACATGCTTTTCTTTTATTGTTTTTTTCCCCCTTAAATGTTCTTTGTCTTTAATTTCACAATGATCCAGCTCCTTCCAGGGCCAGGTATTGTATTAGATGATGGGGTGGATGACTAGGATATGGCCAAAAAAGTACAGGGTACTTTTAGTGGTCTCAAAACAGGGTACAGAGCCTAGACTAGGGAAACTGGGGAAAGCTTCCTAGATGGAGGAGCTGGTATTTGAGCTGACTGGTTAGAATTAAGCAGACTTCTTGGGGCCACCAGCCAGGAGCCAAGGCTGCAGTGGAGGAAGGATTGCTGAAAGTGAGAACAGCCTGTTTCAGAGGCTAGGCCAAAGCCAGGGTTATGTGCTCAGGAGCCTCCAAGTGGATCAGCAGCTTGGAGTCAAGGGCAGGGCAGGAGATGAAACTGAAGAGATGAAAAGGGGACAGAACATAAATGACCTTGAAGCATTTTAAGGATCTGGACTGAAGATGTTGGGTGACATTTGTTTTAAGCAGAGCCGTGACGTGAGCAGACACACGCTCTGAGAGCGGGGTGGAGGTTAGATGGGGATGGGGATGGGGCAGAAGAGCTGGAAAGATGACTTGCGGTTGGATAGCCTTAAAAGAGACCCCGGAAATAGTCCATTATTCAGGTTGTGACGGGGGCCTGAGCTGTGGCAGTGTGCCTGGAATGGGGGAGGAGGGCTAGGTTGAAAACATATTCCTGGAATACAAAACTGACAAGACTGAGTGGTTGATTGGAAGACGGTAAGTGAGAAAGGAGGAAATTTGAAGATTAGCTCCTAATGGTCTAGTTTGGGCTTAGGGGCACAGCTAAAAGAGAGTCAGAACCAGGCCTGACTTCTCACTGCTGTATTCTGAGATTCTAGAAAAGTATTTGGCATGTAACAGGTGCTCAGCAAATATTTGAGTGAATGAGTCAATCAGTGAACTGTAAATATTTGAGTGAATGAATAACAAACTGTGAGAGTTGTTGCATCATTCAGCCCCATGGGGAATGAGGGGGAGAGTGAGTACAGGGGATTGTGAGCTCAGTCTCAGGTAAACTGAGTTTGAGGGGCCTTAGTACATCCCAGGAGTAGATGTCCCAGCCATAGGCTTCCAACCCAGGGAGAAAAGTCAGGGCTAAAGAGATGGATACTTTGGAATTACCAGCATGTGGATGGCAGTGGAAACTTGACCAAAGGTAATAGGAGACCCAGGACTTGGTCATGGGTGCAGGAGCACCACGAGGCCGTAGTTGGACTTCGTGGCCTGGAAACAGCATCTCACAGTTTTCTCAGTTGAGTGTGAGGCCTGCCTTCTACTCATTTACCCCTCTACAGCTAGCAAGGAAATCTGAAAGGATGTTATTGTGCACCTCCTATGGTCCACTTAACAAATAATTTATAGTATCTTCTATTTTCAATCCTTAAGACTGGTAAGAAATTTTCTCAAGAGCCAGAATATTTTCCCACTTGGCCTTCCTTGAGTTCTTAATTGTTTGTACCTTTTTTACTTCATGACAATACATCTTAACCAAAATAAATGTAGGGGCATACATTAAAATGTAAGAGATTAACAGAATGAATGTATATTATTTGATAACTGAATCATCTAGGATATTCTAGCCCAATTCAAGATAATTTGGTGTTTTCTACCAAAGCATCTGTATTGAGGAAAATCATCGTAGGAAGAATACCATGTTCTTAAAAATGGCTCACGTATATTTATTGAGAACATTGTTTTCCTTGCTTTTTAAAATGTCATTTAATTTTCTAAAGCTGCTTATAATGAGTCCCAGTAGAATTTCCCAGAAGACTAGGTTATTTGTCTTGAATTATTTTCTTCCACTTTAGGATTTAAACTGGAAGAGAAGTGAATTGCTGGTGCCTGGGTCACAACTTGTTTTAGGTCCCCATGAGTCCAAGATACCTATACTTTTGATTCAACAGCCAGGAAAAGTGACTGGTGATGACCGACAAGGCTGGGGAAGTGGCTGGGATGTCCTGCTTCCAAAGGGCTGGGGCATGGCTTTCTGGATTCCATTTGTAAGTTACTTTTTGATTCTAAGAGTTGCAACACCTAAAATACATTCCTAATAAATACCAAGTGCTAAAAATGTTCTAGACTTTGTGTAACTTAGAAATTGAATGCTGTTTTTCTGCTCTCAGAGCTGTAATCCTGATACATGATATTTCATAAACTCCCTGTAGCCAGGTTTTCATTAATGAGCTGTGTTGACATATTATGAAATTTTGAGGTTTTAAAAGTGGCCTGATTTTTGAATAGTTATAACAACAACATGTTGGTTTTTTATTAACTTGAAGAAATTTGTTAGTTTCAATGCGATTTTTATAATTTTCTAGTTTTTAGAAATCTAGAATACATATTTTGCTTTTTAAGTGCTGATCATATATTCTTATTAACTGCAGTTAAAATTTCTATTAAAATCTATTACGTGTGTGTGTAGGGGAGGTTGATTAGTTTAAATATTGCTTTGAGCTAGAGAGTATAAAGGACATGTGAAACTATTAGATTCATGCAGGTTTTCATTGTGGCAAATATGCCTAGGGCAAGGGACATTCAGGTCATCATTTAGGAGTGGGAATATTTTTTAAATAATTCTAAGTTTTAAATTATGAAATGTTTCAAGCATATGGAATGTGTAGATACTGATACAATGAATGCCTGTGTACTCTTCATCCATTATTCCCTTAAGAAATAAACTCAACAGATTTATTGGAAGCACTCCATGTATCCCTCTCTAATTCCATTTCCCTTCCTCCTTCTAAAAGAATCACTATTTTTGTTTTTGGTGTTTACCAACCATGCATATTATTATAGCTTTATAAAGTATGCTTATATCTCCAAATAAAGTAACTATTTGACTTTTTTAAACTTTCTATAGCTCAGTGTATATGTGCTTTTGCAACTTACTGTGTTCACTGACCATTGAGATTTTCCCACATTGATTGATAAAACTCTAATTCATTCATTTTTACTATTGTATAAACTCATTGTAGGATTATCACACAATGTGTTTATCCATTCTCTTTTTGATGGGCATATAGGTTGTTTCCCATTTTCCCCATGCAAGCAGTTAAGGAGTTTCATTTGTATTGACAGGATCTTTTTGACATGTCTTTTAGATTTATCGAGGTGCAAGAGTTGGAGGATTGAAAGAGGCTATATTGCATTCTCAGTATAAAAGGTCACCTTATATCCCAGGTGATTTCCCAGACTGCCAAGCTGGGATATTGTTTGCTGAAGAGCAAGCTAAGGATCTTCTTGAAAAGTACAAAAGGTAAGAAACTGGCTCCTCTAATTTGATAATGTCTTGGGAGCAAGAAAAGTGCCTGTTCACATTGGCTGCTGATGTTTGCAGTGGCTCTGGTAACTCTTTTTTTTTTTTTTTTTTTT